CACCACCACCACCACCACCACCACTACCACCACCACCACCACCACCACCTCCACCTCCACCTCCACCTCCACCTCCACCACCACCACGACGACGACGACGACGACGTCATGCCTAAGACGGCGGTGCATGTGCCGATGCCGATGCCGATGCCGACGCTGATATCGTCGTCGTCGAGGGTCGGACATCATACCCACCACCGCACGCTCACAAGGGAAGAACCCACAATGCCGCGCCCACGAGGAGGGGAGCCCATCGCGCGGGGGGGGGGGCCGATGGCATCAGCATGAGGGGGGGGGCCCGGACCCTGGATCGTATACCTTCGCCTCGTTCCTGAGATTTGAGTATACCGAGTCTGAGATTTCTTGGCATTTTGCGGCCCCTGGAGCGACTGGAAGAAGGAAGAACGGCATACATCGGACTTTCGGAGCTCCGCGCGGATTTCTTGGATCGGCGCTGGGATCCCCTGGCGGCGCCTCCAGCGCCGCCCCCAGCGCGCTCCGCGCGCTAGATCGGGGGCGCAGCGCGGATCCAAGAAATCCGCTCGGGCCAAGGACAGTTTATGCTCATGCATGCTTTTCTTCGTCCAAAGACCAGCGCAGAAGTCGCCACGCAACGAACCTGCCTTGGCTGCAGTGGGCGTGATGCCTGCTGCTGCCCTCACCGCTGGCCCAGCGTGCCCGTGTCGCTGCGCCCTGTGGGGCCTCCTCCGGCACATTCTCAGATCCGGTTTCGGCCGTTTAGGTTTCGGCACCGCCTGATCCCGAGGCTTTGCCTTCTCCCAGCCTCGCTCTGAGGCTGCGCCCTCCCCCTTTCCTCCTCAATGGCTAATTCAAGCTTCGCGCGGCCCGCTTAGCTTCGACCGGAAGAGGTGCGCTGTCGACCCGCGAATCAAAAACCGCTTAGGTTTCGGTCTTGCCGTCGACTCCGGCTGTTCTCGGTCGAGCTGTCGTCGCGGACGGCCCTGCCAGCGCACCTGGCCCCTTCCGGCCCCGGAAGGACGCAAGTGGACCGCTCTTCGACGCCGGGGCTCTTGATGCTTCTTGGACTGCTGCTTACTGGCCACTGGTGCGTGTGCGGGCTGGCCAGTCTTGGTAACAGCGCTGCCCATCAGCCCTTCTGCTCCGGCTCCTCCGCCCCTTCTCTTCTCCCTCTGCGGCCCCTTTCCCTCTTCCCTCCTCCTCCTCCTCCTCCTCCTCCTTTCTTTCACCTTCTCCTCCTCCTTCCATTTCTTTCTCCTCCTCCTCCTGCTCCTCCTCTCCCTCTCTTCCTCCTCCTGTCTGGTAGGGGCAAAGGTGTGTGCACATAGACTTTCGGAGGTCCGCCCCGCTTGCCCGGATCGGCGCCGCACCCCCGTGGCGCGAGGGGGTCCGGCGCCGATCTAAGAAATCCGCGCGGACCTCAGGCAGTCTACTCCGGACTTCTTCTTCATCAACTGGGGGTGACAACAGTGAAAACGCGGCGCGGCCACCCCCCCCGGCACCACCCCCGCGCCCCAGCGGGGAGGGGAACGAACCCCATGCCCCCCCTGGCACCCCCGCGGACGCGCCGCGGCCGACCCCCCCTGACACTCCAAGGGGGTGGCGATTATTAAGCGATCCAGAATATGTTTGTTCTTCCTCATCCTGCCTCCTTCTGCGGCTACCACCCTCGTGTTGCAGAGTCGGGTGACTGGGGTGCAGCCCAACACACATCCAACGTGCGGCATGGCCGCCACGGAATGCGACGCTCTGCCCGGAGAGCCGAGTCGAGCTGTTCGAGGTCAGTTGAAATACCCTTTCGTAGAAACGCTGAAGAATGGCAACAGAGCGAGAGGCTTGCGGGCGACGATCAATGGAGAGGAAGCACATTGCCAAATAATTTCCAGATGTCTAAAGCATGTTTTGAACATGCATTAAGCATGTAACAACATGTTTGATTAAACATTTCGTATAACATTTGTTCAAACATTTCAAACATCATTTTTAGTTCAATGATCGGATTGATAGGGTGTCCATTGTCATGGCATCCACAACGAGAGGCCAGTGGGAGCGATCGGGCTGTATGAGGCGGAGTGGGCTCTCTCCTCCGTCCGCCAGGGCGCCGACTGGAGCACGCACGTCACCGCCGGCAGGCCCCTCCTTTTGCCTGCGTGCCCGGGCCTTCCCTCCAGCAGCCGGACGGGCAAGTGGTATCGGGAGCGGCAAAGAGGGGGGTGATGACTAGGGGGGGTGGATATCATGGTGCGGGCCATGATATTTCTTCAGATTTCATGGCGCCTCTTCTTATTCCATTACGTCCCTGCTCTCCTACTCCGACTCCTTGCCGTCCCATGCCTTTTCTCCCATCCGTCTCTCCTACTCCACTCCTTGCTCTCTCTTCTTGTTCCATTACGTCCCATGCCTTTTCTCCGACTCCGGCTCTCCCATCTCGTCTCTCCGACTCCGGCTCCTTCTCCGGCTCCGACTCCGGGTCCCAACTTTCAGACTCCAGGTCCTATCCCATCTCTCCGACTCCGGCCCC